ATTTATTCTTTTTCTTCTCCCCCCCCCCCACCTCCTTTTATTTTTGTTTCATCTCTCTCGTCGTTCTATATATTTATATTTATTATTTACTAGACTCGCGAATAAGTAAAAAAAATTTGATCATACGAATGAATTTTTAAAATTTTACCTTTCGTCGTTTTTACTTTTTTCTTTTTCTTTTTCTTTTTTCTATATAATTCGGACGAATGGGATTTTGGTTATAAAAGTTAGCTTTTGAAGTTATGTTAGTAATCCTTAACGCTATATTTGCTTTTAAGGGAGAACGTGCTTTCAAATGTCGTCCTAGAACGAACTGGTTGAAATTTCACTTTGAATATACAAAGTTATTTCATCGTAGAACATTTTATTAATTATTCGCAAATTGTGGGGAAAAAAGAAGACTTTATTATTTGATATTGGAATAATATTTTAAAAGGGGGACGCGCGCGCGATTAATTGGTTATTATTATTATTATTATTATTGAGGAAAAAATTTGTTAAAGTGTTCGATCAATCGGTTTTATTGCTTTTTGAAAAAGGACAAAAAATTGTATATGGAAATAACTAAAGTATTATATCTCGTCCAATTAATTTATTGAATATCATTCGATACAAATCTTTATTTCTTATTATATTGGATTAGTTTTTTTTCTTTTAATACAATTTACAAGAGAAAATATATATAATATTATAAAGTAATAGAGACAAATATTTTGCAAATTTTATACAAATATTAATATTACTATATTAACATATTAAAAATGACTCCGCGTTCTCGAAAAGTCATATATTTTATGATATACAAACACACATGTGTATAACAAAAGAATATATACATATATTATTTATATAATAAAAGAATTCTTGTCTCATCAAATAGTTCTAAAAATTTATAATAAATATTGTCAAACAAAATTTAACATACGTTCATTTCATCGGTGTTATGTTAAATTTAATGTTAATAATTTCAATTTAAAATTAAGGAATGCACAATTAATAAAAAAGATTAATAAAAAAGAAAGAATAAAAGTGAATAAAAATAAGATAAAAGAAAACAAAAAAAGAATAATAACAATATGAATTGAAATAAACAAAAAAAATGTGTCTCTAGTATAGTTTATTAATTTATCATGCTATTAAATGTGAATACTGGTGGGGGTTTAGCAAAGAAGTATTGTAGTTGATCATACAGTGTGGGGGCGGGGTGGGGGCGGGGTGGGGGTTGAAATTAGCTCGTAAAATAGAAGAGACTTGGTTCGTTAACGTGATAGATCCTTTTCCATGATAGATCGTTTGTTCTTTCGTTCGTTCGTTCGTTCGGTGAGAAACGCGTTAGCTCGATGAAACATTTTCCCAAGGTGCAGTCATGCTCGACGACCTATTTATCTGACAGACACGGTTTACCTGGTTGGTGGTTCATGGGACTAACCACCGTTGCCGTAACAACAATACTTTTTTACTTCGTTGCGATCTTTTTTCTTTTTTATTGCGTGTGATATTGTACGAACGAACAAACGTACGAACGAACGAACGAACGAACGAACGAACGTGTGTATGTTTATTTGTGTATGTGTGTTTGTTTGTTGTGAATTATAGTTCCTTCGTTTTCTTTTAAATGAAATTAAAAAAGCAAGAAATATATAAAGAATCGTAGCTGTCCTTTACCATGAACGTGTCTTCTATCCGGTACTGTTGTTTCGCGAACAATGACACCGAATGAAAAGAATATAAGACTAGAAATAATAAAAATAAACCATAAAAAAAAAGAAAATACATTAAAATAGGGGCAAAAAAATATGAAAAATAAGAACGTTCGTATTATTATTTTTTTTTATCTTTTTCTTTTTTTAGAATAAAAGAATCTTAACGCGAAATAGTTCTTTTACTTCTTTTTATTATTATTATTGTTATTATTTTTTTATAATACTCATATCTTTAACACTTACTAAAGTTAAGATTTTTCTTCGTTCGCAAAAAAATAATTCGTTGGTATGCGTTGAAAATTATTCGTGAAATGGTGGTTCGTTCGTTTTTTTGATCGTATAAAAGAAAATAAAATAATCGATCAATTTCACACGAGCAATATTTTTTAATTTAGGGACGTTTAATTATACAAAGATAATATAAAAAGACAGAGTACAAAATTCGCATTAAAAGCGAATAATTTGTCGTCATTAGAGGATAAAATAAATTTGTTTAAGGGATACCTTTGACACCAATACGTAAAAGAAAAATTGTATTTTTATTATTAATCGATATCATCCAACGTTAGGAGTTAATTCGCGCGACAAGTGTGTTAATTATTTAAAAAAAATGTTAATTTAGTTATTAATTAATCGGTTTAACTCTGAATAATCAATTAATTAGCATCATCTGCGTTAACGATTAAATATGATCATGTATATAGTATTTGGTATAATTTCATTTGAATTGGGTCAATGCGAACTATGATAAAATCTATAGAAATAAGGGAGTGGGAGGAAGGGGGCGGGGGGAAGAAAATAAAATAAATAGAACCAGTTTAACACATTAATTGAATCCTTATGCGCGTGATGTTATACGTTGGAAGGATCAACCGACAAGTAGCGTTGAATTTCAACGTAGATTTGCGTTGATTTTAAACGCGTAATTTAGGTTACAGGATATCTCAATGTCTGTTATGTCAAATGCATTGCTAGCACAGATCTATCAAGTATATTATTCAATCTCTTCACGTATCTATATATATATACGTGCATGAAATACGTGATAACGTTAATTATTATTAAAGGTGCAAAGATGCGAGTGTAGATGCAATTGTATTATTGATTAGTTAACGCGATGAATATTTGACGTATGGAAAATTCGTTGAAAACAATTCTACGAAGTTTCCAATATATATATATACTAAATGGATATTATTTATTAAATAAAACACGCGAGATATAATTATTTTATAAATTAATAGATTTCTTTGTCTTTTTTTTCTCCCGGATTTTGGTATGAAATATATTCGTGCAAATTTAAAAATATATTATTATTATATATTTATATATATATTCGATATGATATATTATATTTCTAATTTGTTATTAATATAAAATAAAAGATATTTAATTTAATATATATATAAATATAGAATGTAATATATTATATTTGAAATATTTTGTTTGTGATATTGAATAATTTTCATTATAATATAATTGTTACGAACTCTTTTCATACAAGCGATGAAATAATTTGAAAACGCGTGAAAATATAATTGAATGAAATAATAATAAAGGATGAAAAATATATATATCCGAGATTTTTATCTCATTGTCTTAAATATAATATCAATGTGAAAAAATGACATAAAAATTCATCCGACTATAATCTTACCATCGTTCTCCGAGCAGATTTTTTTTGTTCTTTTCTTTTTGTTCGAAGTGTCTCCATTCGCTCCGTCATTTTTAATTCCCTTCTTATTAAATGCATTTACGTGCTCCTTTACTCCTACATTTGCATTAATTATACCTCGCTATAATGGTTACTCATAATGATACGGTTCTTTTACGTTCCTTAAGATCAATCATGCGACACGTGTAAGGATTTAACAATTATTTTCCTTTATAGCTAATGTTCTGATTAGATATTTATTTTATAATATATTTAGATATATTTTTTCTTTTTATTTCTTTTTATTTTTTTTTTTTATTAAATTGAAACACGAAACAATAGTTATCGATCTAGCATACGATGTTTTTTTCCCATAGTTGCTTGAAACAATTTCATTGGAAAAAAAAAATGAACTTTTGAAAAATCAATTAACGAACGTTGCTTATGAGAAAAGTTAACCTTGTTGCCCCGTTAGATATTAAATGACGTAGAAACGAGAAAATTGAATTATTTGATGCGGTGACACGAGCTTCTGACTTTTATGTTACGTTCACGATATAACTTTGAAATAAATTAGAATCCATGGTCTCTGTCGTGTAGAGATACTAGAAAGGGTAGAGAACAGAAAAAAAAAAGAAAAATAAACTAATAATTTCATTTATGTTACACAAAAGTTTATAACAAGCTTTGAGATTGAAAAAAAAAAAAAGACAATAAAACACGCTTTCAAAAAATGTCTACGGTAGTTGAGATTAAAGTTATGGGGCAATATGTAAATTACATTTTTACAAGTGCGAATAGTTATTAGCGTAGAGCACGAAAGTAGTATTATAGTAACTCATAATGTATTGTTAACATAAAAAGATTATTACTAGAATACACATTAATATATATGTAAAATTATTCTTCTTAATATCTGCTTCAATATTTAACATAGTTATACGTTTCCTCTATCGATTGTAATTTAACACGAATAAATAGTATAATAGTTAATTGATAGATTGTGTTCCCGTATTTATACGTCGATTAAAAATCAAAGAAAAAGTAATACATACGTTAGAATCGTTAGAATGATTAAATAATTTTTATTTTAACCCTTTGAATATAGACGGGGGAAACGGAATACTTTTTTTCTATTAATGTTTAATTATTTAGATTTTGAATAATAGAAAAAAAAAGGAAAAGAATTTCGAATTTCGAAAAGGAAGGTCGAAAAAAATTGACAGGCGCCATATATGCTCCCACATAACTCAAAGGGTTAAAAAAAAGAAACACATTTGGATTTTTGTTATTTTAAGTAGACCAAGTAGATACAGTTAAAGTTTTCGAATAGAATTGACGCATATATGCGTCCACAGAACTCAAAGGGTTTAAAAAAAAGAAACACATTTGGATTTTTGTTTTTTTAAGTAGACCAAGTAGATACAGTTAAAGTTTTCGAATAGAATTGACGCATATATGCGTCAACAGAACTCAAAGGGTTAAAAAAAAAGGAAACACATTTGGATTCTTGTTTTTTTAAGTAGACCAAGTAGACATAGTTAAAGTTTTCGAATAGAAATTGAAAAACAATAATAGAAAAGAAAAGTAAATGTATAAATGTTAATCGTGTTATTCGTTGGGTTAATTAATCGGGTTTGCAGTATCTCCGAGGTTCGAGGTATCGAATATGGCATCAGGATTGCCGAGCGCTCGTCAGAGGAAGCTTGGACCAGCACCAATAGCATCCTTCGAAGACCTATCGGACGAGGTGGAAAACGTGAGTCCCCCATGAGTCCTCCCTGAGTCCTACTTCTTATCGACTACTCCGAGACCCGCTCGGCTCACAAAAATCTAGCGTGTGTGTTCCCCTTCTCCGAGTGTCGCACGTCTTCCTCTTAAACTTTGGAAAAAGGGGCCCTGAAACCCCGAAGTTCAACACCTACAATTCCAAGACTGTGATCCAACGACAAACCAGTCTACGAATTTGAATGCAGGGGGAACCGACAACACGAATGCCAGGCATCATCGAGGTCGCCACCCCGGCAACGCCTGGTAGTTCGCTAAAGACACCCAGTACACCAAGAATTGATATCAGCCGGGCAAGCAGTTCCTCACACCATGAGGATAGTAATTCTAGGGAATCATCACCCGAAAGAGAACTTCTCGCAGGTATATTTACTTTAATTTCCTTTTTTTTCGAAGTTATATTTCTTTTGGCGCGCGCGTTTTGGAAAGTGAGGTTAGATGCGACCGAAAAATCGACACCACGAAGTTGTCGATATTTAAAATGCGCGGGCAAATTGAAATTATTTTTGAGGTTATATTCGTTTTGGTATACGCTAAAGAAGTATAACTTCTTACGTGTGTACATAAGTACCACACATCAGTTTCTTTTTTTTTTTGTTCTTATTATTATTAATTGGAATTATATTTTATTTTAATTTTATATTCATATATTATATTGTAATTTAAATGAATAATTTGTATTGCCTATTTAAATGGAATTGTTATAAAAAAATTGTATATAGATATGATAAAATATAAAAATTTTATTTATTAGATATATATAATAAATATGGAGAAGAAAAAAAAAAGAAAATTTGGTGTCTCAGGTGGAGATCCTCCTCCAGGGAGTAAGCTGACCTTAGGTTACAAGGAAGATGCACAGGATTTAAGATCGTCAACGGAGGAATTAGACTTGCAGGATCCAATACACGAGCAAGATCTTAGGAGGGAATCGAAAAAGGCAAGAAAACGAAGAGAAGATGGATCACAATCGGATTATAGCGGTGGAACGAGGCATACCCAAGACAGAGAAAGGAAGGATAGTAATTGTTCTGAAATTATCCTTCTTAACATCAGCGGTAGAACTTCCAGATTGTCTTCTGTGGGAAGTCAGGGTTCTGGTGTTTCCGGAAAACTCTCGGTGGTTTCGGGTACTTCATCGAGGTATTGTATTCGTTAGTTATCAATTTTATTTTATTTTATTTTCTTTTATTTTTTTTTGCTTTCTCGCGAACGTACAAATTAATATTACATTTAAAATAATATCTAACAAAATATACTTATGTGTGTTATTTTGTTTCTCATTAAAACAAATAACATGACGTTGTACGTCCTACGAATGATTTAAATTAATTCAAATACAACGATACATTTCTTTTTCTTTTTTTTTTTTCTTTTTTTTTCCTTTTTCATTTATCATTAAAGGTCACCGAGTCCGCACAAATGTCTATTGGAGACGTCCTTTTGTGGTAGCAAGCCGACTTTAGCTGATAACTTGATTGAACCATCGAAACCAGAAACCGAAGACTTAGAAAAGATTTTGTTGAAACGCGAAGCTGACACCACTAAAGCGTTAATTCCAGATAGTATTAAAGTATCTATGGTCGGTGGTAATTTGAAGCCGGATCCTTTAGATAAGCCAAGAAGACGCGGTCGGGAAGAAAGGAAAGAGATATTTAAGAGAGAAGTGGAGATTACTAAGAGATTTTTAGAAAAGGTTAACATAGAGGTACGATTAAGTTTCAATTATTATTATTTTATATTAACTATCGAGTATTTTTTTGGGAAACCTATTGTGTGATTTCTTTAGGTACCAATTATTCGTAAATCATTTGAATCAACGCAACAACAACAACAACAACAACAACAGCAGCCAACTAAAAGTCAGTCACAAGAAGTTCAAAAGCCAGCTAGCTTAGATTTTAACGACAAACGAAAGAAAGCACAGAATTTCAAAGAGATCGTCCAAACAACACCAACGGCGAGTAGCTTAACTGGTAGTCCTAAATTACCGAGACATCAAAAGGTTCGAGATCTTGAGGGATCCCGGACACCTAGTCCATCTTCCGTATCGAGAAAAAGCAGTTTTGCCTCTTTATTCAAGGTAAAGTGATATGTTTCCAAAAAGCTTTCACAAAACAAACAAACAAACAAACAAAACAAAAAAAAACTCAAAAAACGACGTAGAAAAAAAAAAATTAAAAAAAACAAAAACCCAATATGAACACACACACACGCACGCACGCATCATATAACACGTAAAGAGAGACTTAAAGACACGTTGTTGGTTGTTGTTAACGCTTTTAGAATTACAAATATTACGCTTTATCACAATCGAGCTATTGTAGTCTTCTTCTTCTTCTTCTTCTACCTAATGCCCCCCGGTAAGCGAAACGCTTTTTAATAAAGGGAGTGATCCTAAAGGAAAGTATGCTCTGTTCCTCAAGACCAGAACTGATGGCAGCGTACTGAGCCCAGAATCACCGTCGCCGAGTACTAAACCACGTAGGAGTTTAACATCGAAGATAAAGGACACCACGGAGAGTCTAAGGAGCAGATCTAAATCACGAGAAAGGGTTGCCGTTGATAAGGGTGGTTCTACTTTGAAGAAGGATTCCAAAAACAAGGGGGTCTTCTCGTCTACTTTGAGTTTATTCAAAAAACGCGAAAGGAAGAAGAGTTATGATGAAGCTATAGCATCATCTTCTTCCGGTGTTGCAATAGAATATGATGGTGGTGGTAGTGGTAGTGGTGGTGGTGGTGGTGGTGGTGGTGGTGGTGGTGGTGTTGGTAACGTTGTTGATCAATTACAACAGCAACAACAACAACAACAACAATCGTCGTTGGAAAGTATCGGTCAGGTTGAATTTACTTTCAATACCGAAAAAGAAAGACGCAAGGATGATTCAATTTTTATCAGTCTTCACGCGGATGATAGAAATTACGAGGAAGCATTACCATCCGAAAGTGTTTCGATACCATTAGAAACACCAACCAAATTATTAGACGAATACGAATCTGAACCACGTACGACTACTATTACCGGTGGTATTATGATGACCGAAGTTTCCATAGAACATCATCATCCTCCCTGTATCGAAATGAAAACCGAATCGAGAATTGAAATAACACCGTCTAAAAAATCCTCATTTGATAATCAAATAATATCACGTAGCCCGTCGAGAGATTCTCAAATATCGATGATGACTGGCCAATCGAAAGATACGAAAATAATAAATGCACAGATTGTTAAAGATAATTTAGATAATACTATAATTAAATCATCTAACACAGTTAGTTCGCCAAGTTCGTCTAATGAAATTAGACAATTGTCCGGATCAAATCAAAGATTGTCCGGTAGTTCTTCCAAAGATTCGATTTCGAAGAAAATTATTGTTCCCGAGGTTGTACCGAAGATCAAAAGAAAAAATAAGGATGAACAGGTGGTTAATTTACAATCGGATAAGATAGACGATTTGTCATCGCAGAAAAAGAAAATTGTAGATATTGGCGATGTTAACGTTACGAAAACAATCGTCGAGTCTAAGAAAACAGAATTTTTGGAGGACGGTGGATTATCCGTCAAAATGGCGGATGTTAATTTAGTGAAGACGTCTAGTATAATATCGGATCTCGATCATAACAGTTCGGAATCCGAAAGGGATTCCGAGATAGAATTTATTCGTAATAAGACTGAGAAAATTAGCGAGGAATTACCTGACGAACGTAAGGGTCTGTTTAACGAGGAAAGCTTCGAAGAAGATCTTCCTTATATTCCGACAACCTTGCCTTTGGAGAAAAGCGTAGCGGTACCGATTTTACCAGTGAAACAACGACTGCAAGAAGTTAGGTACGCGAGATCTTTAATTAATTAATTATTATTATTAATATTATTATTTGCGTGCACATATCGTTGTAACATATCGTTCAAGAATAAGGTGTATTCTTATTTTATTTTTTTTTGTTATTGTTATCGATAAGAAAAAATTAAACGATAATATAATATTTTAGAACGATACCAATCGAGAGGCCACGTTCAACGACACCGATTAATCCAACGTTATTGGACGAGTTCGTGATGCAAACGTCCCTCGACGAAAGACGAGTAGAAAGAATGAAGATATCTTTACCACGCGAGGATAGTTTTAAATTGAAGAGTCCGAAAAGACACGCTGCTAATACGTTTAGCGAGTTTGCTGGCAAAGTTACGGATGGTGGTCGTAATAGGACAACTGGTAAATCACCTAGTCCGCCACCATTGCCACCTAGAGCAACGACCAGGCCAACCAATTGGATTAATTTCGAGGAAATACCGGAAAAAAGGAAGGCACCGAAAATAATTCAAACGATTCCCCGTAACGAGGATGAGGTTAATAAAACAACGGGTTATAGTTACGTACAACCGGAGGAATGTAGATGCGAGTGTCACGAGGAATCTAGAAGAGCATCGATCAATAGGGAAACACCATCAATAATAACAACAACAACAATAACAGCAGCAACCAATGTTACCAGAACTTCGTCGTCATCATGTAGCAGCAGCAATGGGGAACGTACGTGCAACGGTGAGAACTGTGTTGTCCTACCAACGACTACGAGTTCTGTCGATCGTGCCAGCATCGTCAGGTAAACTCACCTGGGTACGATCATGTATCGAATATAATAAACAATTGTATTTAATTATCTTGATAGGCGTTAGTGTTGAGTAGAAGTTTGTTTTTATATTTTCAGTGACAGCTCGTTGGAATGCAGTTTGAGTATCGAGGACAACCAAATGATTACAAGCCAAGCTGTCGTTGTTAATCAACAAACGATCATCAATTCGGGAAAACCATTTGGCATGGATCTAGATGTTAGATCTAATAGATCGAGTATAGTTTCTCAAGAAGAAATCGATGATAATTCGCATCAATAAAATCAATCGGGTCTACCACATTCGAAATGAGATTCACACAGACAAAAAGATAACATAATATAGAAGAAAATGAAAGAAAGAAAGAAAGAAAGAAAGAAAAAACAAACAAACAACAAATTTAATCATCCATTACGTATATTACGTTATTATAATACGCGATAAATCACATTTTTTTCTCGACAACTAAATATTTTAACGCATTTTAAATCGTGCCGCAAAGAGATCTCATTCTAATTGTCGCGCGTAAAATCAATGAATAGTGTTTTCTCGAAGGTGTTTCTCAAAATTATCGAAACGGTATCCCTCATTCCAATAATTAATCCGTTTCCGAACACGGAATCTTCAGATTTAGGAATGGGGAGGGGGGAGGATACTGAAACCTGACAAAATCTTCTTTAGTTTTTCGAAATTTATTTCACTTTCAGTTTCCCACGAAAATTCTTTGATCGAAATTAATATTCGATTATCGAACCCCTCCCCTTTCCCCCTTCTGACACTCGTGATCGTGGTCGTTAAGAGATTCACCTTCGTTACGTAAAAGAAAGAAAGAAACAAACAAAAAGAAAAAAATAAGAAACCAACATGACAAAAGAGAATAATAAAATAACAAGAAAACTGTTGCACAATGACGCACTTTAAAGAGGATCACCCGTTGCGAATTTAAAATGAGCGATGCATCTCGCTGCCAGCTAAAATAATAATAATAATAATATAGGAACGATTTTATCTGTATTCTAAATAACAATTCGAAATACAACAAGTTGGATTTAAATGAACGGAACGGAACGGAACGAAACGTTCTCGTTGGCAAAAGTTTGAACAAAATTTTCATTTGTTAACACGATGAACTGAATGATCTTTCTCTCTCTCTCTCTCTCTCTCWCACACACACACACACACACAAAACTCTCACTCTCACTTTCACTCTCTCTCTCTCTTCTTCTCTTTCTCTTTTACGATCTTTACTCTAATCTCTCATAAGGTTGTATGTACGTGCGTGTGCGTGCGTGTACGTGTACGAGTATATGCGTGTGTGTCATAATCGAACTTCCTTATATTAGGATGAATCAAAAGTTCGTGCATTTTTTCTTTTTTTTTTAATATTTCCAAAGTAAATTTTACAGAAACAAAAAATCCATTATGCAGTTTCAAAGTAAAGTTTCAACACAATAAACGCATGAATTTCTGATTTATCCTAATATTCATTTTGCAAGATTTATTCGCGATTATCGATCATCGTGTTTGTTCGGGAACAGGGGGTGGGGAGGGGAGGGGGGACAACGTACACATGTGTATGTATAAATACGTACAACGTATACATATATATATACCTACCTTCGTTTAAACGTTCGAATATTATTAACGTTTGTAAATCCGCTATCGCGTGTTCAAAGAAACACTTAAAAAAAAGTTTATGGAGTGAAAAAGAAATGATTAATGCAAACAAACCAAAAAACAAAACAAAACAAAAAAAAATAGTAAAAAGTAATATTGAAGAATGGTTAAGAAAAAAAAATTCAAAATAATAGGATATCTTTCTATCTCTATCTCTATCTCTATCTCTCTCTCTCTTTCTATTTTTATCTTTATCTATCTATCTATTTGTTTTTTTTAAATTTTAATATCTTTTTCTTTATAACGAGTTTTGTCATTAATAACCGGTATGCAGACGTTGAGCAATGATTTGTTTGTGTTACTTCAATCGAAATACTCGTAGATCGAGCAAGAAAAAAATAAACAAAAAAAAGAAAAAGAAAAAGGCAAAGTAGGACAACCAAAAAAGAAAAAGAAAAAAAAAGAAAATGTACCCCCCGAACAAAATTAGAACTCGAACGGGGAGATTGCTTTTCGCTGTGAAATTATATTTTTTAAACGTCATCTCGCGTTCTGCATTTAATCGCGAATTGAATTCTTTTTTAGGTTTTTTATTTCCTGTTTTTTTCTCTCTCTTTTTTTCTTTTTTTTTACTTACTTAAAATTATAGTGTTCAAGAGATGATGATAGTTGGCAATACGAGATTAGAAAAAAAAAAGAGGAGCCTCGTCGTTACGAATCCTTCCTCCTTTCGAAAAAATTATTTTATCGACTGTTGTATACACTAAACGTAAAGAGGGTAGGTTTCGTTACGATCGTTAGCAAATATTAGGCTCTTGAAAATATAAAAACGTACGTATGTACGTACGTGTGTGTGTATGTGTTTGTGTGTGTGATATCACATAACAGGCATCCCTTTTCGTAAAAATCGTTCGTTTTATTTCGTTTGATCGCGAAGCCAAATTGCGTTTCTAGAATTTTTCTGTTTGTTTTTTTTTTTCTTTTTTTTTTGGTTTTCTTTCGTTAAACTCGAGCTAATGCAAATGAATTATTTTCTTTCGATTGAAAGTAATACGACATTTACGTATTAAATGTATAATGAGTCATAAAATTTTTTAATCCGTTTATAAATATTGTGCAAATATTAATTTATATATCGAATTTTTGTATTTTAACTTTAAATGTGAAAAAAGAAAAATGTGTTCTCTCTTTAATTTAAAATTTATATATTTAATTTTTCTTTTTATTTTTTTTTTGTTTTATGAACAAAACACAAAAATGTGTTCTTTTTGCGATAGAATTGAATCAATCGTAGAATACATTTTATATGGTTGATAAGAATTAGGAATGATCGTATCGAAAGAAAAATATTAATTGTTTTTAATTAACCAGTTAACGAAGGATTACGAATTAATAATTATCGAGTAATCTTTTGAGTTTTTCAATTTTTTTTTGTGCGTTTTCACAAACGTGAAAAGCAAGTATTACGAGAGTGCCTGCAAATACGAGAAGAGTGAATTTTCATTTTGTTTTTTTATCTTCTTCTTCTTTTTTTTTTTTGTCATTTTTCTTTTTCGTTCCTTTTGTAAATAAAATATTTACACACATTGTAGCGAAATAATCCATGATAATGCTTAACTCTTCCATAATTGAAGAGTTTCGTTATTTAGATTGATGATTAGGAAAAATAATAATATTAATAATAATAATATTAATAATAATAATAATAATAATAGGAAAAAGAGGCGAAATCGCATATCGCAAATTGCAAATGGAATTACGTATTTATCTACCTCCTAAGTATCGTATCGAATGGCAATCGAAGAAGAAGAAGAAGAAAAAGAAAAAGAAGAAGAAGAAAATAAAAACGTCAAAGATTCTCTTCAACTTCGATGACCGTGATGCTGCCTGCAGAAATACAAAAGAAAAAAAGAAAAAAATAGGAAAAAAAAAAGAATAAAGAAAAAGACATTAAAAAAAAAGGAMAAAAAAAAAAAATTACCAAGACAATTTAGAAGCACGTAAATTAGCGACCAACAAACAAATTAACGTTATTTAAACGAATGTTTTGCGTTTAAACTTACGATAAATGTATTATCTGACTTGGTTTCTTTTCAAGTCGATAATTCCAATTGAAAAAAAAACAAAAAAAAAAAAATGTAACTTACGGAAAATTCTTCCCTTTCTTATTCCTTTTATTTTATTGTTTTTTTTTTTTTTTAATATATTATATAAAACTTTAAACATATAAAGAATTCAATCGAAAGAGACCAACTCAGAAAATGTCAGAAAAATTAGAGTGCTTCGGTTTTTTGCATGCTCGCATAATAATATTATTAGTTTTTACGAAGTATGCGATTCGAAGTAAGAGTTTTATAGGTTTTTTTCTTTTTTTTTTCTTTTTACGAAAATAGATGACGTTGTCATAATTCCGATTAGTATCGTTGAGTATCTCTTACTTTTTTTAAAAACGTTTACGTCATTGGTAGTAATGAACACGTGTCACGTAGCTCGTGACACTTCTCATTGTGTTCAATAAAGGAATACTGACTCGTGTTTTACGACGTATATAAAAATATAAAACACACAACACAACAACAGCAGCAACAAATGAAATCGATGAAAAACAAAAAAATAAGAATTAAAAAAATAGAAACAAAGAAAGAAAACAGAAGTACCGAGAGCGAGTAATAGTTGACAAACAAAAAAACAAGAATAATTAATTATATTATAATCAGTGTTTCTTTATATATTTTTTATTTACAATTTATAATCTTTTTTTATATCTTATTCATCAAAATTAATTTATATATGAAAATCAATGAGAATTTACACGTGTGTTAATTAAAAAAAAAAAAAAGAAAAAAAATAGTAATATTTAGAGTTCGAAATAACAAACCACAATATAAA